GTACCACAGGGGTCGATCCTGGGACCTCTTCTGTTCAATCTCTACATGCTGCCGTTAGGTCAGTTAATACGCAGAAACAAAGTGTCCTATCATAACTATGCAGACGACACTCAGATCTATGTCTCACTGACTGCAGGAGAACATGGACCAGTGGACTCACTCCTTCACTGTATCCAACGAATTAGTGAGTGGATGCAAAACAACTTCCTTCAGCTAAACGCAGACAAAACTGAAATGATTGTCTTTGGTCCCCAGAAACAAAGAGAGAGCGTCATCTGTCACCTACAGTCTCTCTCCCTAAAACCTTCAAACAAGGTCAGAAATCTAGGGGTAATACTGGACTCAGACTTAAATTTTAATAGCCACATCAAATCAGTAACATCAGCAGCTTTTTACCATCTAAAAAACATTTCCAGGATCAAAAACATAGTGTCTAAAGCAGACTTGGAGATTCTTATCCATGCATTTGTCTCCAGTAGGTTAGACTACTGCAATGGCCTGCTCACAGGTCTGTCCAAACAGGCTGTAAAACAGCTGCAGTACATTCAAAATGCAGCAGCTCGAGTCCTGACTAGAACCAGGAAGTACGACCATATTAGTCCGGTCCTCAGGTCTCTGCACTGGCTTCCTGTGGCTCAGAGAATAGACTTTAAAACAGCTTTGCTTGTGTACAAGTCTCTCCATGGCCTCGCACCAAAATATATTAGTGACATGTTAGTCCCATATGAACCAGCCCGGACTCTGAGGAGCACAGGGACTGGACTCCTGTTAGTGCCCAGAGTCAGAACTAAACATGGGGAGGCTGCTTTTCAGATTCATGCTGCTAAAATCTGGAACAATCTTCCTGAAGATGTGAGACAGGCCTCCTCTCTGACTATGTTTAAAACCAAGTTAAAAAACTGTGCTGTTTAGCTGTGCATACAACTGAGGGATTTTATATTTTTTTATCTTTCTTTTTAATGTTCTGTGATTATTTATGATTTTAATGCTATCTTGTTCAGCACTTTGAGTTGCCTTGTGTATGAATTGTGCTATACAAATAAACTTGCCTTGCCTTGCCTTGCCTTGCAATTGTAATTGCTGAAAAAACAGAATTGTTGTGCAGGGATAAAAGATGATATCTGCTTGGAGATAAATCAGTAAAAATAATAATGTTCTTCCCAGGTTTGTGATCTATTGTCTCTGGCAGTGCTTTTCTTAAAGTTCATAAGTTTTCATGACATAATGTGCCTTAGCTTACGGTGTAGCTCTGGGCCAAAACACGAGGATCAGACAGACAGACAGATGAGCACAAAGCAACGGATCAGGACACCGTGCAGGGATGTGGAAGGGCGAGGCGTCTCTTTGTTTATTCACTGCTGGACCAAAAGTAAGCAGAGTTTTACCTCAAAGGGCCTGTTATTGTACATCACTGTAGTCCTGGAATCCATTCAAAAGTCTATAAAAACGGTCATAATGAAAAAAAGCTTAGGTCAAAAGCTTATTTCCACGGCCATTTCAAATGCACCCACTCACGATAATGCTCAGTTTACAAGCTGTGGTGGATGTCGGCTTACCCAAGGATCAATCAAAATAAAGCTACATTTTTCGTCCTGGTTGCCCCAGGTCAAGCAGAAAAACACTGACACAAAAGCAAGAGAAAAACCCACCCTGAATGTCAAGCGAGTTGGCACCTCGTTACTGGTTTTTTACACTCTTGACCTCAGGGTCGTCACACAATGGACATTTCTCACTTCCATATATTATATATTCACTTGTGTATTTAACCTGGTGTTGGTATTGTGCCAAGAGAGCCAGAAATTACTAGTTTGACCAAATTTTCAAATATAATAAAGGTTTGTTTCGCAAATATTCACATTTCAAGTGAGGTAACATTATATCAAAGTTTTGTGGCGGGTATAGTGATGATGGGCATTCAGACTTTCAAGTAAAATTAAAAAATGGCTCAGACTGCTGGGATATACTGTTTGTTTTTGTGGGTAGAAGTTATTACAACACAATTGGAAACACATGGTAAATAACCCAAACACAGAGCACTTCCTTCTCTTTGTCAGACAGGCCAGTGCAATGAAATGCGTAAGGCCCCGTCCACACGTAGCCGGGCAGTATTCCAACACAATAACCACCCAAACAACACCCCAACACACCTACCAGTGAAAGAAGATTCCAACAACAGGGGTAAAAGTGACATTCCGGTTTTCCTCAGGATCAAGAGTGCTGAAAAATTCAGGCTGAGTTAGGGCTGGGCGATTAATCGATTTTAATCATTAATTCGAGTTTTACGTTTAGGGCGATTTCCAGCGCTAACGCGCTAACCGCGGGTCTATGGTGTTGAGCTTTTTTTTTTAAATTCGATTTACGCCATGTTCGTACGCCACATACGCTCTCTCACGCTCGTTCTCCAGCGCACTCCCGTGTCCGTGGCGCGCTACTCGTGTCCCACCGCGGGGGAAAGACACGTCTACACATTGGCTCTGTTGTTCCCCGCTGTCTGTTAGCTACAGTAGCTGCTACAGCAGTCATTTTGCTACAGCTACAGTAGCTGTTAGCTACAGTAGCTGCTACAGTAGCTGTTAGCTACAGTAGCTGCTACAGTAGCTGTTAGCTACAGTAGCTGCTACAGTAGCTGTTAGCTACAGTAGCTGCTACAGTAGCTGTTAGCTACAGCATCAGAATGTAAACAGGAAGCTCGCACAATGCGGGAGTCACTGAAGTTAGTATTAGCGCCACCAGCTGGACCGAGCGTTGTACTACAGCACAGTTACTCAGGCACAGTTGAAAGAACAAGCATGAAAACCCGAGGAGGCTTTTGGAAAAGACTGTCTGTTACAACATTTCTATTTTGAGTAATCAGTTTTAAAAATGTGATATTTCATGTAAATAATGCATGTGTTTAATAGGATTGATATATTTGCGATGGGCCTTGTTTGTGTGATTTAAGTTATTTTGAAGGTGCATAGTGTCATTGTAAGTGAAGTTATTATAAAACTGTTAAGCTACATTTTCACTGTTTACAATGGCAGAGCCATCTCGTTTACAAGCATGTTTTAAGGCTTAATTCCTGTTACACTTATGCTCCATGGGGATTTAGATTAAACTGCATAAAGGAAAATCTATTTCTTTGTCAGTTGTAGTTTGTTTTTAAAATAGAAAAAAATAAATCGATTAAAATCGAAAATCGGATTTGGTGTGAAAAAAATCGGAGATTTTTTTTTTTTGCCATATCGCCCAGCCCTAGGCTGAGTTTACACGGAGACAATGTGGCAGTAAAACGTATAGTTGGATGTCGGTTGCTACCAACCGTTCATACGAAGACTGTGTTCCAGGGGGATGAAACGTAAGTGTTCAGATCCAGCCTGCAGAGTGGGACAACTCAGAAACGCTGCACAGCGGGGGCTCTCTTTCACACCCGCGAGAGGGGAATAGGTGTGAAATCCCCCTCTGCTCTGACCCCCACCTCCTCGCTGCTCCCCGCACGTAAATTTGGACATGCGCAGTAGCGGAGAAACCAACATCAACAACAATGGCGGCGCTCACACTAACTAGCTTCGTGGGCTTCCAGCGCTTCACAGAGGATAATTCTACTCCTTCGTTCGTCCAAACGAGACCACGCGAAGCTCTAGGTTCAGTTTCCATTTTCACAGCTGCTGTTAAAAGGCAGAATGATGTTGGTGCATTCTGAGTGTCTGGCACAGGAAGTGAGTACACTGCCGAGAGGGGGGCTGGGCACGGGGCTGGGGGTTGTGTGGAGTGTTGTAAAGTTTCTCTGCCCACTACTGGCCGGGCGCTAGAACTACATCGTTTTTCAACCTCATGTGAATGCTGAGAAATATGCATTAGGAGCCAGGTCGTTTCTGTTAATAGCCTGGAAACGTCTGCGCAGCGTCTCAGTATAAACAGGGCCTCAGACACAGTAGGAACATTTGGGGGTGCATTGAGGGGTGCAGTCATTTCACTTAGTTTTTGCTAGCAAACTAATCATGGCTTTTTTTTTTTTTGAGGGGGCAGTAAAAAATTATGTGTGTACAGACTTATTTTACATGCCAGCACATCCTGTCAGGATCAGTGATGGCCGTGACCGTTGCAATGGTTAGCTATCAAAAGCTGGATTAAGGTGTTTTGATTTAATCATCCCTGCGGGCATAATCAGATAAGACTGCAGAAGCACAGAACAGAAGTGTGACCACATGTGACTGTGCAAATCAATACAAGCACTGGATGAATGTGTCAAACACATACTCAGTCGCCCGGGCAACAGGGCCAGCAGTAGACATCAACCACTACCAGATGACATACATTCACAATATTACAGAACAAAGTTAAAAGGGGCACGGCTACAGATAAAGTTAACCATTCACCATTTTTTGGATGATTTTGATTTTTGTATTTTGTCATCCCATGACAGCTGAGGTTGTAAACTAGAATATGGTTTAGACTACACAAAATTACTAACAGAAAGAAAGCATACAGGGATGAAAAAAATGTAGGACAAGCATGAGAGATCAGGTGCTCTTTGAAGATCCGTGGGAAAATAATAATAGGGAGAACAGAGGAAAAGGTCAGAGGCACTAATATTTAAAAATACAAATACATGACGACACGTTTCCACCCCCTCTCGAGCTTTCATCAGGTCAAGTTGACCAATCTAACCATTGATTATCCATCCTAATGTGTACTTATTTGGCCCATTGATTCATCAAGCCACATCAGTAAACAAAACATTGTTATCTCTTCCAATGCACTTGGTTTCAAACTTATAAAAACTTATTTTCATATATCTTGCCCTAGTGAAGACCAGAGAGGTCAAAACACGTTCTATGTCCCTTTAAAATCAGAGTGCCTGACTTCCGGTGTAATGGCGATCTGAGACGGACCAAAGCGTGGTGGCTGCTTCCTAATTTAAAATAAATTCCCACCTAAACTCGAAAACACGCGACTCGGTTTGGGTAAAGATAACTGATAGGTGGGAAAGGAACGTGTAGAGGCCAAGAAGTTACAGAATGCCGAATAGAAAGCAAGAAAAGAGCGCTCCATCGGGAGATGCTAACCCTGTAGCAGATCAAGCTAACTCGAGTGCAACCGGGCCTGGAGTCACTACGAGCGATCTGCTCCGGGCTATCGAGTCACTCAAATCCGAATTGAAAGAAGACAACGAAAAGCTGAGAAGTAATATAAATACAATGCAACTGGAACTGAGCAACAAACTGGATACGGTGACTGAGGACATACAAGACTTGAAAGAGCGAATGGGGACTGCGGAAACTCGAGTGTCCGAGGTGGAGGACGTGACACTGGTGCTGACAGAGGCGCTCTCTGAATGCCTCAAACGACAAAGAAACCTGCAATCCAAGGTTACTGACCTCGAATCCAGGTCCCGTAGAAATAATATTCGTCTTTTTGGAGTGAGAGAAGGAGAGGAGAACACATCCGTAATGCAATTCATGGCGGACTTTCTCCAGCGCGAGTTACCTCTGACGGGCATAGAGCTAAAGATACAACGGGCTCACCGCGTCCCCGCACAGAAACCCCGCTCCGGTGCCCCGCCAAGACCCATCGTGGTGAACTTTCAGGAGTTCACCACGAAAGAATTGATCCTGAGAGAGGCTTGGAGAAAGGGGCGGATCCAGCTGAACGGCAATGCTGTATACTTTGACCACGACTATGCTACAGAGATTGTCCAAAGGCGCAAGGAATATCAAGTGATTAAGAAGGCACTGAAGGAGAGAGGCGTGCGCTTCCAAACGCCATACACAAGCATACGAGTTCACTGGCAGGATGGAGTTGCAGTTTACAGAAGCGCGCATGACGCGGGATGCGAGCTGCAGAGACGGGGATACGACGTGCAGGTGCCAGCAACCAGCGACGAGGACACGGCGGCCAGGATTCAGAAGTGCGTGGAGTGGCAACGGGGTGCACGCCCACGGAGAGAAATGATAACATCCACTGCGCAGCGGGCTAAAGAAAGACTGAGAGAGTTCCAAAGAGGCGAGGACGAACGATTATAGGCTTCTTGCTTTTCTGTATTGATTTCTGCAGAAATATGGCCAATTTAATACAAGAAAGAGGAGCAGCACCTGAAGACCAGACGTTGGACAATTAGGATGGAAGAACCAGCTTCCATACCTTTTTTAGGGCCCCTCCAGCGAGGAGGCATTGACCCTAGACCTGCCAACGGGGACGAGGAGGAAAGGACTCTTTCCCCACCTAGTGGGAGTCACAGGTATCGTTCGTATACCACAGTTATGATTGTTTTTTATTTTGTTCCTGTCTGTTGTTCTTGTTCGTCTGTGGGGTCTACAGTTTTTGAAACTGCACAATATGAGTGGTGGAACTAAGCTGAAAGTTGTGTCAATAAATATAAATGGTCTGGGTAACCCCATAAAAAGAAGTAGATTATTAACAAAGTTAAAGAAGGATAAAGCACAAGTCATATTCATTCAAGAAACTCATATGTCTAGAGAAGAGCATGAAAAATTCAAAAAGTTTGGTTACAGTAATTCTTTCTACAGTTCACATAAAAATAGCAGGAGAAGAGGAGTGATAACTTTAATTTCAGATGCAGTTAATTTTGAGATACTGGAGGAGGACTGTGACAATGAAGGTAGATATGTTGCTGTGAAGGGGAGAATTGACAATACACACTGGTTAATTTAATAAATGTGTATTCTCCTACAGAAATGGATAAAACATTTTACCAACTAATATTTGACAGGATCTCCAGCCTGAATGAGGGGATACTAATCTGTGGCGGTGACTGGAACACTGTCGTAGATCACATAAAAGACTCAACAAGTAATAAAAGATCCAAAAACAATAAATCAAAAGCCCTAAACTCACTTATCAAGGAATTGGACCTCTGTGATGTCTGGAGAGACCTGCACCCTCTGGAAAGAGATTACACTCATTTCTCAGCAGCCCACAAAGTTCATTCACGAATTGACTTTTTTCTGATGAACAGCATAGACAGACATCGAGTTATAGACTGTAATATTGGAATAGCAGATTTGTCAGATCATAATGCCATAAATTTGACTATACACTTGCAAAATGAAAAAAGGAAAACATTATGGAGAATGAACATTGGCCTTCTTAACAATGAAAAAGTTGTACAGGAAATTAGAAACGAAATACAAGAATGCATTAATTATAACAATAATCCTGAAATAGAGCCAACGATTATATGGGATACTATCAAGGCCGTAATGCGAGGGAGCTTGATATCAAGGACCGCCCATATTAATAAGAGGAAAAGACAGAGACAATCAAATTTGGAAACAAAATTGAGGCAACTAGAAAAACAACAGCATATAGATACCAGTGATACTATGGCACAAAGCATAAGAGATGTAAGAAAACAATTGACAGATTTGGCAAACGAAGACATTGAAAAGAAAATGCGATTCACCAAACAAACTTTTTATGACCCAGGTCCTAAAGCGACTAAAGTATTGGCTAAACGTCTGCGTTCACTACGAGTGCGGAATTCAATTAATAAGATTAGAGATCCAGTAAGTAAGGAAATTAGAAATGATCCAAGACAAATTAAAAAGGCTTTTCTAAACTATTATAAAACTCTATATGACCAGGAAAACCAAATAACAGCAGACGAAATAGTAGATTATTTGAATAATTTAGATCTCCCTTCTATCGGAAACATCCAAAATGAATCTTTAACTAAACCAATTACTAGAGAAGAACTCGACAAAGCAATTAAAAGATTGAAGAACAATAAAAGCCCAGGGAGTGATGGCTATCCTAATGAATTTTACAAAATGTTCAAAGACGATCTAATATGCATCATTTTAAAATCTTTCAATTGGACACTTCGGCATGCAAAGACCCCTCCCTCTTGGAAGGAGGCTATAATATCAGTTATACCAAAAGAAGGCAAAAATAAGGAGTATTGCGAGTCCTACCGCCCCATCTCTATTTTAAATGTAGATTACAAGTTATTCACCTCCATAATTACTAAAAGAATTGAGCTCTTTCTTCCAGACCTCATTGATGAAGACCAGACAGGATTCATAAAGGGCCGACAAACACAAGACAACATACGGCGCACATTGCACATAATGAATGAAATTAATAAACAAAATATTCCGACAGCTATACTAAGCCTCGACGCCGAAAAGGCATTTGATAGGGTCTCATGGACTTTTCTATTTGCTACTCTGAAAAGAATGGGCTTTAATGAAGCCATTATAAATTGTATCCAGGCCTTGTATCACAGGCCAACGGCCAGAATAAAAGTAAATGGTGACTTAACGGATAGCTTTGAGCTTTCTAGAGGTACGAGGCAGGGTTGTGGCCTAAGCCCCGCTCTCTTTGCGTTGTTTATTGAGCCATTAGCTCAGCATATACGGCAAAGTGATGACATTAAGGGAGTCACAATATCCAAGGAGGAGCATCGAATAGGACTCTTTGCCGATGACATAATCTTATTCCTCCAGAACCCTGATGCTACTTTCCCCCAATTAATGCAAATCCTACAACACTTTGGAGAAAAGTCTGGATATAAATTAAATATCTCCAAGACTCAAGTACTATGTCTTAATTATCGCCCTATAGATTCAATCAGACAGGAATACAAACTGCAGTGGGACTCAAACAAGGTAAAATACCTAGGTGTCTACTTACCTAGAGAAACAAGTGCATTATACGAAGTTAATTACAAAAACATTAATGATGTAATTCAAAAAGATCTCACAAAGTGGTCTTCCCTTGTTTTGGATCTCAGTTCACGAATAGAGGTCATAAAAATGAATATTTTGCCTAGATTACTTTATCTGTTCATGTCTCTCCCAATAAACATACCAGAGTCTCAATTTGCTAAATGGAACAAATTAGTCAGCAGATTCATTTGGAAAGGTACAAAACCCAGAGTCAGATTAAAAACGCTACAGCTAGATAAAAAAAGTGGGGGGCTTGCCCTACCTAATTTTAAACAATACTTTCAAGCTGCCCAACTGAGAAACATTGTACACTGGTGCTCATCAGAATATGATGCTAAATGGAAACGTATTGAGCTAAATTACTCATCATGTCCACCACAAATTAGATTGGGTGATAAAACTTGTAAATCGGGTGATCTAGATAACCCAATCATTGAAACAACTTTAAAAGTTTGGTGGGAAGTAGTGAGTGAACGCAAAATTGAAGGTGAATGCAAATTGTTGGGGTGGCCAGCCTTTAATCCAAAATTTAAAAGTGGCCAATTAGATAGCACATTTACAAAATGGACAAAGAGGGGGATGACGGCTATGTGTACACTAACGGATGGAAAAGTATTTAAATCTTTTGGAAAATTACAGCGGGAATTTGACCTTGATAAATCCGATTTGTTTAGATACTTCCAAATAAGACATTTTTTTAATACAGAAATTCTAAATCAGACTTCACAGGAAAAGAGTGACCTATTGGAAATCATTATTGGAGCATATCGATGTTTACCCTCTAAAATTGTATCCAGACTATATAAATGCTTGCAAAATGTCCCCCGAATAACTCCTTATATATCAAACAGAAATGGGAAAAAGAATTACAAAATTGAATTGTCAGAGGAGGATTGGCACTCCATATGTCTTTTACAGCACACTTCAACCAGTTCGAGACAATGGAGAGAATTTGGATGGAAAAACGTGATCAGATTTTTTCTCACTCCACATATTAAAAGTAAACAATTGAAAACCCCTCAGCAGTGCTGGAGACATTGTGGCAGCTGGAGTGCCGATCACTCTCATGTGTTTTGGAAGTGTACGAATATTACACCTTTTTGGCAAAATATTGTGATGGAAATGGAAAAGGTATTTGGATTTAACATTTCTATGGAGCCACGCACCGTGTACCTGGGCCTTCTGTCAGAGAGTCATGTTCAAAATAAGGATTTGTATCTGTTTAAAATATTGCTGATGTCTAGCAAGAAAGTAATAACAAGAAACTGGCTGAAGAGTGACCCTCTGACATTGAAACAATGGAGAGACACAGTGGAAGAGATTTATGTCATGGAAAAAATGACTTTTCACCTGAGACTGAAAGCTAACAAATTTCAGAAATGTTGGTCCAAGTGGACTCATTACAAAGCTCATTTGGAGATGTAAATTTTTATTTTGTAGTACCCCACTGATTGTATGTTTGTTTTTTATGTCTGTAAACGTTTGAAAAATCATAAATAAAGAGTTAAAAAAAAAAAAATCAGAGTGCCTCAGCCCTATTTATCTTTGCTCTTCGTGGTTTAGAATATGTTAGATTTGCAGTAAATTCTGCATTTAGTTCACTATTTTAAGGTAAGTTTTAAAATGCAAATTTTTGTGCAATAAGAGTTGCATTTAAAGCAATCTTCTGATACTTCAACTAGGTTCTGAAGTTATAAGTACAGAATAATGAGAGCAGCTGTGTTTTATCAACAAACTTTTCACAAAAGACGTGACGCAACAACAGTGTAATGTATATCAGAGAAACTTAATCGGACAGAGACCAGCGCTTCAAGTGGATGATACAAGGATGTACCAAACAGACCTGAGTGGTAGGAGAGTTTTACTTCACACACACAGATGTAATCTCCAACTAATCACGTTTAATGCAGATCTAGGACTCAACAGCAGATCGGAACAGATGGGCCCATGCACACTTGGCATATCCTGGATTAACTCAGGTGAAGGAGGTGGAATGTAAATCAGGATCAGTGAGACAATGAATTGCATTTTGCCTTTGTTCAGCTATGAAAAAGTTGACCACAAATATAAAAGAGACATTGACTTTTTAAAATCCAGATATTGATTTTATTTATATTCAATATTATCAAATTAGAGCCATTACTCCTGTGATTTATCCAGTATTCATTGCTTAACATGACACCCCATTACTGTAAAGGCATGCAAGTCATGGGAGTGAACCAGTGACCTCCAGGTCATATGTTAAGTTTGGAAAACAGCAGCTCCACAAAGAGCTCCACACACATTCCTAAAAACGCATGCTTTACAAGAGACTGTGGATGACCCGACTAACCATTGATTATCCATCATAATGTGTACTTTTAGCACCTATTGATCAACCAAACCACATCGGTACACAAATATGTTATCTCTTCCTATGCATTTGGTTTCAAACTCGTACAAAGTTTTGGCACATATTGGCAATTCTTTGTATATATCTTTCAGGCGTTTACAGTAATGGTTTGTGACAAATGAGGATCTGCAGAATTGTTCGTGGGAGAGCCCATGCCACACCCAAATCTTTCCCTGGAGGCAAACGTACCCGAGATCATCGCCTGATGAGTTTCATGGTTCAGTCTGGGCGGACAGGAGCTGAGCTAGCAGTACTCTGCAGCTCCGGAACACATACACAAAGACTCCCGCTTACGACACAGCCGTTTACAGTGTGCAAACCGAACAAAGATGTTCTTAACATGATAGCAGAACTCATCATGAATCTATTTTAATCACGCTGCACATTAGCATACTGCCGCAACTCATGCTAGCTTAAAAACATTAGCATAGGCGGCGAGCGACGACTCACGTTAGCATCAAATAAACTGATGTCCCCGCGGTGGTCGTGGGCGCGGTGCTTATATTTTCACGTGGGCAGGATATTACGAATTTACTACAAAACAAAGTATCTAAACTTAGTTAGTCAAAGTTGGATGGTGTAGAGGGTTTTATGTGCAATGAGTTCCGACTGAACCCCGCTTAAGTTTGATTCTGGAGCATCCTTTGGTCAAAAACAAACCGTACGCGGGGGGTCTGTGAGCTGATGAAGGCGGCTGAGATAACTGCAAACTGAGATATCACTCGCCACTCACCAAAATGCGCCGTAGTCCTCTCCCTGCAGCCGGTTATCCCGCGGGTTGACGAGCAGACGGAGATACGGGACAGCTACGGCTAATGTTAGGACGATGCGCCTCTCGCCGCACAACAGCTGTGTTGTGTTTTGGATAAGGACTCAGCTCTGCTGCGGGCGGAGCTACAGTCTCCTGCAGTCACTGAGCACTTAACATCACATCTATTTATCTTTTTTGGCTGTTGATGTTGCTCTAACCTTAAGAGAATTATGACCACGTTGTGAACAAGCTTGATTCTTTCTTGAAATGAATACTTTTTGTTCAAAAGTTTTCTTGTAGCACCCTCTTGTGGTGTAATGCAAACACTGCAGGCAAAAATCTGTTAGCAACAGCCAAAAATGCAAAATTTCTCATTCCATCATTTGTTTTACTGCTATTATTATCCAACGCAAGTCACGTTCTTGGACATCACTGTAATTTTGCCAAAGACAAGGCACAACCTTCTCAATTATTTGTCAAAAGTTGATTCGTTTTGTTTAAATCAGAAACCATACAGCACAATCATTGCCCTTCCTAGACCCTTGGTGTATTTTGACCTGCAAGACCATTTTAGTGTTCCCTCCCCAAATGAGTTTAAATTCTTTTTTATTTTTTTTCCAATCATTTATGACTGAACGCTGTCATGGTATGTTAACAAATTTTGTATACAGCTTAATTGCATATATATATATATAAGGCATATATGTATATTATACGTCTAGCTCCTAAAATGAAACAGAAAAAAATATAAATGGCATAACAATCAGGTCCACAGAGTCATAACAATCTTTGGAGAGGATTACTTTTCAAGTAATCCTCTCCAAAGGATTAGAAAAATAAGCACCCCTATTAATTGTGTTACTTGTAAGAAACCCAGATTAGATAATAATTTCTTCTTTCTTGGTGAAATGAATTCTTTCAGGGTAACTTCCTGAATGACAAGGTATTTATTTGGATGTTCTCTCCATTTTAACTTCTTCCCAGAGCTTTACCTTAGGACAATGCCATATTCAGTGGAACAAATGTTCAGTTAGCATCATTGTGCTTACTAACCATCATGTATATTACTGTTGCTTAAAACCAACTTTCCACGATAGCTTGATCAGTACTTTGTCTTAAAAGTAAACCTAAACAAAAAAACGTCAACATTTGATGGTAGACTGTTAATTACTTTTTATAAGATCCAAGTTTGAGACACTTCGTTGACTAACTTTCTACGGTTTAAGCCTAAGCCCCCACATCTACATGTTATATTTAGATTTAAAAAAGATGTTACCAGACAAAATTAACACAATTGAATCATTTATTAAGGATAACTTTTTTTGACATTCATTCTCCAAATTTAAGCTGCCTTTCTTTCTCCAAACCATGAAGTTCCTTGGCTCGGTTTTTCAGTTCTTCTGCCCGCTTCTCATCCTTCTCTATACCATCTCCCAGCTTGTACATGCGACTTGCATTGGCGCATCCATACACATGTCCCAATTCACAAGCCCTGTTAGCATACTTCAGTGCTAGTGACATATCTGAGGCCACAGAACCTGGATTGCCTGTGATATACAACGCACTCAGGTTGAAGCATGAAGGGGCAAATCCACCTGCACAGGCCTTCTCATAGTGCTGTTGAGCGGCCTTCACGTCTGGTTCTCCACCCATCGCTCGTCCATCATGAGCCAGCAGACCGACATTGTGACAAGCATCTGTGGACTTCTTTCCTCCAGCAGTACAGGAGCGCACAAAACAGGAGTAGGCAGTTTTCAGGCATTCAGGTACTCCACCTAGTGGATAATAAGTGAAGTGTTATAGCTATAACCAATCGTCAAATCCGATCATAAACGTACTTCAATAAACTGACGTTGTGCATACCTTTACCAGTGATGTGATAGGCTCCAAGTTTATAGCAGCTTTCTCCATGACCATGTGTCTCACAGTTGTGTTTGAGTACTTGGGCTGCAGCTTCATAATTTGTCTTCACCCCTTCCAAATAATCAGCTAATCGTTGACATCCTTTAAGTCAAAAAGTAGTAGATTTAGAAAACTGCAACTAATAGGATTTTCAGCATCACTAATCCGAGGATAGTACACATACCTTCAGGGTCCTTTTCTTTATGGCACTGGAAGCTGTATTCTATTCCTAAATTGTCCAGGAATTGCTTAACCTCCTTTTCGTCTTCAAAGTTAATAAGTCCAGCCATCCTGGAAGCTCGCTATTATTCTAGGGGCACCGATACATTTAAGACACACTACCTTGTGTTGCTGACCTTGCTTGCATTATTCATATGTAACTGCTCTCAATTTAAGTATTGGAGTCTGCTAATATGAACGATTGAAAACTACAACAACAACAACAACAAACTATCACACGCTTAAACACAAAATGTTCTAGCCGAATTATGTAGTAAAAATATTGAGTAACTCAACCTGAGTCAACATGCTGTGCACCGCCAAACCTCTTCCTCGATGTTAGGCTTCCGTAGTCCCGCCCCTCAGTGCGTACTTCCTGTGTTATAACCTTTGTTTACGTCTTGTCTTGTCTAGTCAAAAATAGACTTATATGTACTAACTTTCCACGGGCACCAGCTGTAACTTCAGAGCTGTTCTCGGGTTTATAAAGGCAAAATATATTTCAAACATGCCTTTCTGCGTGGTCGACATCTCGAAACATTTTTGCACGGAAAGCGAATTTCCTCCACCAAGGTAACAACAAGTGAGCTAGCTTGTAATGTTACATCTAAGCGTTACTAGGAGCCAAACGCGATAACTCTATGATCGTCATGATGTCTTAATGTTATGTAGTTGCGTAAATAAGTTGGAGATGTGCACAGTCTTTTAGAACATTCTTGTGGAAGGGATTTCTGCGTGTTCATGAACGGTTCTTAGGTGGTTTTTATCATGGCGATGGCTGCTAGCTTTTTGAATACGGTAAGTTATACTTTTCAAGTTTTTTTACGATGTTGGGTGGCTTTCTCAGTATTTTGGACATTTGGATATTTTCGCCCAGGATGAGGCGTCCCCCGCGGCGCTGACAGACCTGTGTCTGACTTATGTAAGCCAGAACCTCAGGTATTACTGTCAGAAGCGCCCTGATGGATCACTGTGTTTAAGAGAGGCGGTGCTGTTTCCACAAGAGCTTGCAGACCAGCTTCTAGCTAAGATGGCTCTTGAAGGTAAATAAATGCATTTACTGGCAACAATATCTCAATATCTGGTTAACTGGCCTGTTCCTTAGTTCCTACCTGCAATATCCATGCACTAACCAATTCTTTGTAATGTTGATCTGAATATTGATGTGATTTCAATTTCACAGCTAAACTTTAGTTCCCTTTTTTTCTTTAAGGTCTTTTAAATGACAGTACAGCAGGAGTCTTTCGGAACAGTGAATTTCTTCGTTTGAGGAGAGCCTGTATTAGGACTGCACGCATCTCTGCCGAGGCCTTTCAGAGGGCCCTCTGTCCACACAGGCTGCTGGAGCTTGATGCTGCTAGAGTGAATGCAGATCTCACAATACCAGATATTTTACAAGGCTTGGCCACCAATAAGTATTGCCTGGCAAGTGCAGAAAAAAAAAAAATTAATTTCATAATTAATTACAAATGTAATTACATTATTAAACATTGTATTTTTAACAGGAATCCCTCCAGAGACTTGTGCTAACAGGTCTAACTATGTCCTCTCTGGAAGAACCTATCCAGCATCGATTCAGCTCCCTGCACGCTTTGCGCTCCTTGTCTTTAGCTAATGTGGACTTTTATGACTCTGGGCTCATTGACGTCTGCTCCTTACCCCGTTTGGAGAGCCTGGATCTGTCCAACACATCTGTCACCAACCTGACTCCTCTCTTAGGTCTAAAGGAAAGGCTACGCTCTTTGACTTTGCATCAGCTAAAGAGACTAGAAATGAGCACTGCACAGCTCCTGGGGGTCATTGGCCAGTTGGATGTATTGCAGGTTTGTTTATAGTTTCCTTTGCTTTACATTTTTGTGGCAAGGACTTATGTTTTATGTGCTTTGTGTAATACGCAGCATCTGGATATTAGTGATGACAAACAGTTCACTTCTGATGTGGCCCGTCAACTTCTCGGACAGCCTGGAATTTTGCCTGCTCTTGTTTCACTAGACGTGTCGGGAAGAAAACATGTATGTCTAAATTATAACATGTTTAGTTAAATGTTAAACCATTTCTAATGATTTTGTTGTTTGTTTTGATATGCATTACAGGTCACTGATGCAGCCATTAAAGTATTTGTTGAGGAGAGGCCAGGAATGACGTTTCTTGGACTTCTTGCTACAGATGCTGGATTTTCAGATTTCCTTTCTGGAGAAGGAAATCTGAAGGTAACTACGAATGTGCATAATATTATTAATGATGTAATAATCAATAAAAGTCGTGATAATTCACCTTGTGCCTCAAAGGTCACTGGAGAGGCCAATGAGACACAGATATGTGAAGCACTTCGCAGGTACAGTGAGAGAGAAGGTTTTGTCAGAGAAGCTCTTTTCCATCTTTTTAGTCTCACCCACGTTATGGAAAAGCCAAGACCAGATATCCTTAAGGTGAACTTAAATAATCTTTGTAAGTATTTATGTAGTTAATACTAACAACCACACATGAAAAAATGTGTTTCTATCTTCAGCTAGTTGTTTTGGGAATGAGGAATCACCCAGCCACTCTGAATGTCCAGCTTGCTGCCAGTGCATGTGTCTTCAACCTCACAAAGCAGGACCTGGCAGCAGGAATGCCAGTGCGACTTTTGAGCACTGTCACTCAACTTCTCTTAGAGGCTATGAGGACATTTCCTAACCATCAGCAGGTATTTTATTTACTTCTGTTATTTTGTGTCTGTTGATACTGTATCTAATTTACATAGTATTTAACACTAATGATCACAGTGCCTTTTTTCTCTTTAGTTACAGAAAAACTGCCTGCTGTCTTTGTGCAGTGATCGTATTTTACAGGAAGTCCCCTTTAATAGGTAACATGTCAAGTTAGATGGACTCTGTTATAGGTTTAAACATATTTACTGTACATATTTATGCTGTATGTACATATAACAGCACTTTTTATTGTATTATATTCTCATTATAGATTTGAAGCAGCTAAACTGGTGATGCAGTGGCTTTGTAATCACGAAGACCAAAACATGCAGAGGATGGCTGTCGCTATCATCTCTATTCTTGCTGCTAAAGTGAGTAATGAAAATCTTTTTATTTTTTTTAAGAGCATTACTTATACTTCTTTTATTTTTCACAGTTGTCCACAGAGCAAACAGCGCAGCTTGGAGCAGAGTTGTTCATAGTCAAGGTTAGTATTCTCATTTACTTTGACTGTCCAGTGATAGGAACAAAACATGTGTTTTCATCTACAGCAACTACTGCATATAGTTCGGCAGAAGGCTACCCAAGGTGTGGTGGATGCCACTCTGAAGTTCACCCTGAGTGCACTATGGAATCTTACAGATGAATCGCCAACAACCTGTCAACATTTCATTGAGAACCAAGGATTGGACCTATTTATAAAAGTTCTGGAGGTAATTGATTTGCATACAGTTAATGAATTGTAACTAGAATTTGGAACTGAAAATGACTCACCACCTTCTTTGCAGTCGTTCCCTAATGAATCCTCCATTCAACAGAAGGTCCTGGGATTGCTGGTAAGGGTTATTTTTTCTGTAGTTGTGCTATAAATAAAAATGTTGTCTTAACTTTATTTGTATTTGTTTGATTCTCAGAATAATATAGCAGAGGTAGCAGAGCTCCATGGAGAGCTGATGGTGCAGGGTTTTCTGGACCACATTAGCACTTTACTTCACAGTTCAGAGGTGGAGGTCAGTTACTTTGCGGCAGGAATCTTGGCCCATCTCACATCCAGAGGAGAAGAGACCTGGACACTCAGCCCCAGTTTGAGGTCCACGCTGCTTGAACAACTTGTAAGGACTATCCACATTCCACAGTGGCCGAGTGTCAAAGATGAGCTTAATATTTCTATGTTTTCCTTTAGCACGATGTAATTACAAAGTGGCCCCCTCCAGAGTGTGAAATGGTTGCTTACAGGTACTAATTATTATTGCTGAATAATGCTCTGGAACCTTTTCACTATGATATCCTGTTATACATAGACATAACTGAAAGCAACCTTTGAAACTCACCTTTATTTCACAGGTCATTCAACCCTTTCTTTCCTCTTCTCGAGTGCTTTCACACACCTGGTGTCCAGTTGTGGGCAGCTTGGGCCATGCAGCATGTTTGCAGTAAGAATGGTAATGCACTTTGATCCAATACAACAAGAACCATACATGTATTTTCTTCTATTTAACCAACTGATATTTCTGCTTGCTCTCAGCTTCTCGTTACTGCAGTATGTTGTTGGAGGAGGGCGGGCTGCAACAGCTGGAGCAGGTTCAGTTCCACCCTCAAACACACAAAGATGTTAAAATGTTGACGGAAAGCATTCTGGAGAGTCTGCAGCGGCACAGCGCCCGGACAGGGGTGCCTTTAAATGTTCTCCCAAGACGCCCCACAACATAGTGGTCACACAGGTACAAGTTCACACCCTTAAACTGGTCAAAACAAGGGTTTGTTTTCAGTTGTTTTTAACACACAAATTTTACTTTTCCCTCAACAGATATAAAATCAGGAAACATGAGAACTTTCCACTGAGGGAAGACATATACGCAATTGTTTGCACGCACAATATTTATTTATAAAATAAGCATTAAAACATATTTGTGCAACTTAAACCTAGTATTAATAATACTAATCAGTATGTATGTAGTAACTCTGAACAGAACAATGCATTGAGTGATGGCTTTTATCAAATGTGTGTTGTTCGTCTTGTTTGAATACTGATGTTACGCATGACTCTGCTGTGAGCTCATGCATGTCGAGTTTGTCTCCATGCACATTCATTTATTTTAAAATACCAAACTTTGTCTCAAGGTTTCCAACTTTGCCAGATACACTTCTACTTAAACTGATATGTTCATGGTTGTCTTTAGTGTGCAGCACATTGGACAATTTATTCATGAATTTTCCTGTGCTTCCTATTTTGTCAATGTCTCAAAAGACAGAAATCACTTCAGTGTGAGCATGTATACGTACGTATGCTTCTATGTACAAGCTGCATCTCAAAGAGTGTCAATATTTTGTACATTAAAGAGTATAATGCCTGATTGGGATGCATGCTTTTTGTTTTTCTGTCTGTTCAAAGTTGGGTTTTCTCAGAAGAAGCCACACACACAGCCATCTACTGACAAAGATACTTGAATCAAAACATGCAAATGTTTATAAGTATAAAATGTCATAATATTAAAAGTAACCGTCAAGTCTGTAATAAAGGCTTTTAATATTTAATGTTCTAGTCACAAGTTAATGGGACAAACAACTTTGAACAGGGGATTATTCAATGTAACCAAAAAGAGCACTTATTTTTTGTGGACTGGATATTGATACCAGAAGTTTAAAGATAGTTACCAACAGGGTAAAGAATTGCAGATGGAGAACTGTGCCATTTCATGCTGAGAGTGATGTTTTCATGTAATAATAAAGAATGTACATTCCCAGAGTACTGCCTGCTGTTTCTTTTAGAAGAATGTTATTGTATGATGCAAACAGTAACAATAAGACTCAGATTCCAGCTAATCAAGTATAAAACAATCTGATTACATTCATTAAATCATATCTATAGTCAAAACTGGAAATTTACATAGTGAAAAAGAATTTTAAAAATTCACTGAAAATCAATCATTTTAAATAAATTCCTTTCTCACAATTGTGGCGTTAAGCAAACATAAATAATATTGGTAATAATAACTGAGCTAAATCTGGTTTGGGGTTTTATAGAGCACTTTTTAAAATAAACCTCAGGGTTCCACATTTACATGATTGATTTTGGTCTAAAACGGTCCATTCCCATCTGTTGTTGTCTCACATCAAGACATTAAAAACTAGTCTCTATTCTCCAATGTAACTTGGAGGTCTCTTTTCCATAAAAGCAGTCATACCCTCCTGTCGGTCCCGGGTTGGAATAACCTAAAAAAAACCATGCATTACATTATTACTGGTCTTATTGGCAAGTATTTCATAGTCTTACCCGAGCATAACACATCCTTTCAATTGCCATGGCTGATGTCATATCAACCTGTGAACAATCGATGAGAACAGTTTAAGACCAGAAAACTTTAACTTCTGTAACTTGCGGCTCACCTCAACACCCCTGTTCATCGCCTCCTTTGCCATTCGTACAGCAATGGGAGCCTGAGTAAAAATATAAAATGATAACAAACATAATACAAAAATTCAAATTAGATCTGAATTTTGTACAAAAGTAACCCATACCTTTTTTAAGATGCACAACAGCCGTGACCAAGAGAAAATTAAAGAGAGAAGAGTAGAAAGAGAGAAGGAAGGGTGGAGCAGTGCAGATTGAAAGATGTCTGGAAATGATTGTTGCAATAAGAAAGCCGGCTGGTGCTGTCATATTTATTTATATATATATCTATATATATATATAGATATATATAGATATTGGGGCGACAGTAGCTCAGCTGGTAGAGCATTGGCCTTTGAGCCTGAAGGTTGTGGGTTCGAGCCCACCGTAAGACCTACTTCACGACTCCCACTGATGATATTATTCGGCCCCTTTACTTTCAGTGCAGCAAACTCACTCCAGAAGTTCAGTGAGGATCTTTGAATGATCCAATGTTGTCCTAAATGACTGATGATGATAAATAGAATGCACTTGTGTGTAATCAAGTCTCCGTATAAATGCACCTGCTCTTTGATAGTCTCAGGGTTCTGTTTAAAGCGCAGAGAGAACCATGAAGACAAAGGAACACACCAGGTAGGTCCGAGATACTGTTGTGGAGAAGTTTAAAGCCGGATTTGGATACAAAAAGATTTCCCAAGCTTTAAACATCTCAAGGAGCACTGTGCAAGCAATTATATTGAAATGGAAGGAGTATCAGACCACTGCAAATCTACCAAGACCCGGCCGTCCCTCCAAACTTTCATCTCAAACAAGGAGAAGACTGATCAGAGATGCCGCCAAGAGGCCCATGATCACTCTGGATGAACTGCACATAACTACAGCTGAGGTGGGAGAGTCTGTCCATAGGACAACAATCAGTCGTGCACTGCACAAATCTGGCCTTTATGGAAGAGTGGCAAGAAGAAAGCCATTTCTCAAAGATATCCATAAAAAGTCTTGTTTAAAGTTTGCCACAAGCCACCTGGGAGACACACCAAACATGTGGAAGAAGGTGCTCTGGTCAGATGAAACCAAAATCGAACTTTTTGGCCACAATGCAAAACGATATGTTTGGCGTAAAAGCAACACAGTTCATCACCCTGAACACACCATCCCCACTGTCAAACATGGTGGTGGCAGCATCATGCTTTGGGCCTGCTTTTCTTCAGCAGGGACAGGGAAGAAGCCTAAAATTGATGGGAAGATGGATGGAGCCAAATACAGGACCATTCTGGAAGAAAACCTGTTGGAGTCTGCAAAAGACCTGAGACTGAGACGGAGATTTATCTTCCAACAGGACAATGATCCAAAACATAAAGCCAAATCTACAATGGAATGGTTCACAAATAGACGTATCCAGGTGTTAGAATGGCCAAGTCAAAGTCCAGACCTGAATCCAATCGAGAATCTGTGGAAAGAGCTGAAGACTGCTGTTCACAAACGCTCTCCATCCAACCTCACTGAGCTCGAGCTGTTTTGCAAGGAAGAATGGGCAAGAATTCCAGTCTCTCGATGTGCAAAACTGATAGACATACCCCAAGCGACTTGCAGCTGTAATTGCTGCAAAAGGTGGCACTACAAAGTATTAGCGCAAGGGGGCCGAATAATATTGCACGCCCCACTTTTCAGTTTATTTGTGAAAAAGGTTTAAATTATCCAATAAAATCCGTTCCACTTCACGATTGTGTCCCACTTGTTGTTGATTTTTGACATTTATTTTTATTTTTATATCTTCATGTTTGAAGCCTGAAATGTGGCGAAATGTTGAAAGGTTCAAGGGGGCCGAATACTTTCGCAAGGCACTGTATATATATATATAGATATATAGATATATAGATATATAGATATATATATATATATATATATATATATATAGATATATATATATATATATATCTATATATATATCTATATCTAGATATAGATATAGAGAGAGAGAGAACGCACAATCCAATCAAACACAATCTAAGAGGGAACAGCGAACTGTAGTGTGTTCTGACCTGCGGCAGTATCTCCCTCGCCAGACTGAGTGCCTCTCTGTAGGCAGCGTCTCCAGCAGCGTTCTGCTCAACCGCCCTGTTTACGAGTCCAATCTCCACCGCCGTCTGCCCATCTATGCGGCGCCCTTGAAAAAACAAGTCTGTCAGCAACATGGGCAGAAAACTATATACTATACACTGGAGAATAAGGCCACGTTCACACTTGTTGGTCTGGTTCACTTTTAACTGGACCAAGTCTGGAAAAATGCGTCACAGATTTGTTTCAAAAGATGTGGACTGACTTAAATGACTAGTGGATATATGATGACTTTGTGACCAACAAGTGAGAATGCATTCTTGAAACTAGTTGTTTGTTTTTGACCTTGCAGCGACAAAGCCACAGGTTTATACAGCAGATACAGAGAGCTAAAGGATTGGAAGGTATAGGTTAGGTGCTGTCCAAGATGTATTCCAAGACTATGAATCATGAACGTGTGAATAGACAACTAGAAATGGTACAATGGCTGAAGCCAGAAAAATGAAGCCAGAGAAATGTGTTGTCCGCGGGGCAATTATTGTACTGGTCCAATGTAAGTCAATGGGAAAAAGTGCTTGTACTTTTGTAAATATCTGAAAAAGTGCAAAAGGTGGAAGTGTGAAAAGTAATCGCAATAACGAAACGGTGAAGCCGGTCGTAACGATGTATATTTGTTAAATTTGGTGAAAGCGTTGAAGAGTTTAAAAGTGCCAAAATCTGGCGGAAGCCGGAAGAAGAAGAAAGCAAGAGCATAGTGGCTGCATAGCTTATGCAGCCACTCAAATATATAGTTTCCGTTTATGTTTTTACCCAGCTATTATGAATAAGTATTGCCATATTATTGCATTTAATCTAAATAGTATTAAATGTGCTTAACCACTTCTTGAACATTCAGAAAGACTTTATATAGTATAAAAGTAATTTAGATAAAAGGGTTATGTCACATTAATATTCATAGCACGACACACTGAGGGAGATAATTAGCCTAGATGAGGTGTGTAAAAGTTTCTGTATTCAAGACCTGTGAAGATGAGTTCTTTGGCTCGAGTGACACCAATGGTCCGCGGCAAACGTTGACTTCCCCCTACAGGCAAAACAAAGCCCCAAGGTTAAGTTCCAGCTGTCCATTCATCTCAATATACCTTACTTAATGAAACTGGGCAAGGGCATCTAGACATGTTCTTGTGACCCCTGGATTTCTTACCCGCTCCTGGGAGAAGTCCTCTAGTTGTCTCAATCAGCCCCATATGCGCAGAAGAGGCTAAAAGCACAAACACAAACACACACACACACACACACACCCACACATGATAAAGGACAGTTGAAGGTCTGCAGCGTATCATTAACCTGCACAGGGCGTGAAGTCTGACTGATGCCACTGTCACAGCATCGTGGACGAAACACCTGCTCACCTCCACATCAACGCTCCACCAATGACACGACAGCGAGAGGAGAATCGGCCAACGAGAGCACGGAGGACAGAGCCAGAACAGCTGGCCAGCGGTCCGGCCTCTGAAGCCCCTCATTAGTCCCGCGTCTCATCAAAGAAGTGTCAGTACAAAAAGCTCAATGTCAAATGTTAAGTGCTAGTGGTCATGATACGTCTCGCTGGTGCGCTCAAAATACACCACAGCCAAATTCGACAAGGGTAGATGGAGTTTTGGGTGATGCTCAAATTATGGTTCGTGACAGCAGCATAAAAATGGCAGAGTAGGAGTTATTTTGGTACTAGACAATTACTGATGACACAGATTTATTTTAGAGGTCACAATAATTATAGCCTCATTGAATGCACTTGAGTATACTGTATTGTCTACACTTAAATGACACTATGTACGTTTTCTGTTGAAGAATCCACCGAATAGTTTCTTAAAATAAGACAAGAAAACCTTTATCTTTCCCTCAAAATGGAAACATCAATGCATATGCTCAAAACAATCTGGACATGGATATGTTAAACAACTATTAGGGAATAAAAATGTCCCATGACTCGCATAAAAAAGACAATCCTGGTTAAATAAAAGGTTAAATCTCCCTCGATGTTGCCTTTTCAGGAATGTACAACAGCCCGGCTTTGGTTTAGTGGTGGCCTCGGCTTGTTTGCATAGAGATGTAAGTAAGTGATTTTCACGTCTATAGCACTTTTCACAGCCCAAGGTCGCACAAAGTGGTGTAGCGCTAATTTCTATTCACTCCACATAGTGATGACAGAAACGAGACGCCCAAACACCTGGCGTAATGAAGCCTCTGACCATCACTATCATTCGCTCACTCTACATTCCTACTGTACATTTTTTTTGTTATAACTAAAAACTGGAGCACCTGGAGGGAACCTGCAGACAGGGGGAGAACATGCAAACTCCACACAGGGCTGTCCATGCATGTGTATCACACCATTTTGTCAAACATTTCAGTCAAATGAAAAGACTTAGACATGGATAATCAAATGTGTAGAACCACTAAAACCCCCATAGTGCACCTTTAATGAGTCTGGACGGCGACATGAGGTGTGAATGAGTCAGCGAGCGGTGGCTGTAAAGAAGCCGTCCATCAAGAGCGACAGCAAATAGGCCAATAACAAATGTTCAAGCATGACACAATATACAGGGGGGAAAGCAATAAACTATGATATTTTAACTACATTATGTCTATGATGAAATAACTCGCCAGTAAATTTTCAATAGAAAAGCTACCTTAAAAAACGCATCTACAAGAAATAAATCAAAGACAGAACTAACAATAAGTTATAAGTCACTAGATTCAACAGTCTACAGCTCAAATCTTGTTAGGTCATGTTTTCACGAGAGTTTATCTGTCTTTGTGTATATCCTCGACAAATCCCTTCCTGCACCCCAGGGGGCACTCTAACACAAATACATTCAATTCAATTTAATTGAATTCATACATTACATACATTGACCACAAACCTATAAAGGGGTGCAGTGTTAAAGAACTAGATGTAGAAAAAAGTTCTAACTTATAGTCCGGCAATTATGGTATGTTTAATAAGGAATCAAAAAAGTCTTATATACGACCATTTACCTGTAGTGCGAAGATCACAGGCCAAAGCGAGCTCCAGCCCACCTCCGAGAGCAACTCCATCTATAGCTGCTATAGTCGGCATGGGTAAGACGGCTGACAACAAGATGAGGCAAAGAAGTAAAATAAAAGAAGTTAAAACCATATTCAAATTTCAGTCATTTTGTCTTTTTGATCATACCTATCTGAGTCATGAGGGAGCGGAGGCCGTGAACAAACAGGTCAGACTCAGAGTTGTTCATGAGGGCTCTCTCTTTTAAGTCTGCACCTGAAATAAATAACAAACAAAAAACATTTAAGATATTATTTTGACAAGCTTTGATCTACAAGCACACCTGCTAACCCTCACCTGCACAGAAGACTCCAGGAACCAGACTGCGGAAGACAACAACCCGAGCTGTCGTGTCAGAGGAGAGAGAGGAAACCAGCTCTCTCATCTAGACATACATACAAGAAGAATCATGAGTAACTTTTGATGTACAGTAATATAGTAAGTACTCTAGTAATATAGTAAGTGAAGTAATTTCGGAAGAGATTATCAATAACATTGGAACTTTCCAGGTTACATGACAGGAGACAAATTACCCAATAGTAGCACACTAATCGTTCTTAATGTAATAATCTGAACCATTTAGTAGCCTAATTATTATAAATGATTTAGTAAATGTCCACTCAGTGACATGGGTCGTATTGGTCTTTTATTGAAATTGTTTATTTAAGTAGAGTCATGAGTTATAGATAAAGACGTTCCAGAGATAGGACATGTAATAATCTGATAAGTTTAATGGTGGTATGGTTATATTATTATAGACTCATTAATCAAGTGAGTATTGAGTGCTTTTTAGTGGGAAATGGATCGCTCACACTTCTGGACTATTTTCTCTAAAACAACAGTCAAAAATGAATAACAATCCAAACTGAATATTTTTGTGAACTTTTGAGAGCATAAATAAATGCCTGGACTTTGTGTGAAGACGGGGCTGTAGTTTTGGCCTCTGATAAGTGATAACAATCTCTGCACCGAGGAAAATCACAAATGAAATATTGCCAACAATTCATTTTATAAGAGTTGAAACTCTTGGGTTTTGACACACACAAATAAACTAGTCCAGATGATTTCAATTTTTGTCCTTTTTATCATTAGTTTTTGTGAGTTTAGATTACACTCTGGTACCAATGCAGCTCAAAATATTGTAGTTGACTGTAAATAAGGGGGACATAGTTTTAGTTTGAAATTACAACTGCCCAGGAGCTACTGTAGATGGTTAAATGAAATTTATTTATTTTATCAATCAATACATGTATTTATTTCAAACCTGCACATAACATTTTTAAGACAATACCCCTTGTAAACAAATGCTATTGTCCGACAAATAAGCATATGCAGAGGGGACAATATAGGGCAATGTAACAACAAAGCAATCTCCATTAAAACAAACACAATCAAGGGGACTCCTGTGATATTTGAAGTAGTGGTTATTGCCTGAATACAATCTTAGAAAAAAAAAAATAAACAGTAGAAGTATTTTCTTCTTTTTTGTCAGCTCACCTGTAAAACAAACGCATGTCCCAGCGCATTCCTTGCTTTCTGTCTGCGCATGAGCACTTCCACGATACCTGCACAGCATTCACGTAAGTTACTTTTAAATCAACAATTACACTTTCTATCTGCGAGCACACACCATCATCTTCCCCGTCTAACCGCGCTACATCTACCTCCACAGCCGCCTCCGTGTGCTGTCTGCGGTGCTGTTGGAGAGCGTACCCAGACTCAGAGCCCCTTCCTTCGGTCACCTGCGGCACGAGACCCCGGGAGGCCACGTGGAGACTCCGAGCCGGTAAAGCCTTCACCAAACACGGCCTCATCAGACGCGTGTGAAGAAAAGCTGTCATGGTTGTCAATAGTTGAAGTGAGGTGAGTTGTTTATAAACAGGAAGAGTTTAGGAAGTCCATCTGGTGACTTCCTGTTGAAAATCGTTATGAATGAAACTTCCAGCTGCAGATGGCACATGTGGTCCTACTGTAGCCGAACCGATGATAGATCCATGAGCCGAGCTGGTATCTGTTCCTTCTTATAAGCACCGAAAGATGTTTGTGTTTTTTTAAAATGACAAGTTAATTATTGCAGTTGGCTAGAGTAGATGACATAACAGCAGAGTTGAAGTGGTTAGCCATGCTTCTAGATTAAATAAACATTGTGGTTAGCCATGCTTTATTCATATCTGCCAGTTGAAAACATTTCTACAAGAGTGAAATGTTCAATAGTTTAAATTATTATGCAATAATGATAGTGAAACCCTGGTTTTCTGTGTTGTAAATATTTTAAAAGCCCAGTGTTACATAATAGCAGAATAAAGTGAAATGTTTCAAGTTTCTTTTTGCCACAAAATACCAGATCTGCATTTAAATCTCAGTGAAATAAATACATTACTCCTGATTGCAGTGGCAAGAGTATCAGACATAGAGGTGAGGTCAGCTTTTCCATCAGTTTGTCCATGTCTTGTTTGACCATGCATTATTAACTAAGTCTTTACTGCTATGCACTGGCACCGCAGCCGGTGCTTCAGGTAGTTCCATGAGCACATACAAGAATCACATAAGCAACAGTAATAGTCACTTAAATAGTTTTTTTTTTTTTTGCTCTATAATGCATGTGTTTTTTAGGTGTTTGGCTCTGGCTCATACATTCTCACCAATTACCGTATCCATTTTGGCCTATGACACAGCCATGCTGTAGCAACGTTTATTACATTTGAGTAAATAAGTTAAAAACAGTAAAACATAAAAGCATAACATAAAAACAGTAGGAATATACAAAGTAGCATTGTCATGATACTAAGATTACAATGTCCTTTTTTATATATCTTTATAGTGATTTTTTATGGTTATATTTATATTGATTTATTCATGGGGCAACAGTGGCATAGGCCTTTTTGAGCCTGAAGGTTGTGTGTTCAATCCCTACATGAGACCTTCTCCACCGACTCAATGTCAAGTATAAATTGATACTAGTTTTAGTATGGATTAATATCTGATTAATAGGAAGCACTCAAAAACAGTATAAATAGTTATTAAAATAAAATTTTAAAAACAGCTCAAAAATATATCAGTGACATGTTAGTCCCATATGAACCAGCCCGGACTCTGAGGAGCACAGGGACATGGACTCCTGTTAGTGCCCAGAGTCAGAACTAAACATGGGGAGGCTGCTTTTCAGATTTATGCTGCTAAAATCTGGAGCAGTCTTCCTGAAGATGTGAGACAGGCCTCCTCTCTGACAATGTTTAAAACCAGGTTAAAGACAGTTCTGTTTAGCTGTGCATTTTATATTTATATAGCTGTGGGATTTTATATTTTTAGCTTTTGAATGTTCTGTGATTATTTATGATTTTAATGCTTTTTAATTTTGTTCAGCACTTTGAGTTGCCTTGTGTATCAATTGTGCTATATAAATAAACTTGCCTTGCCTTGGCCTAGCCTCATCATGTAAATATGCAGTATGCAACTTTTTATGTAAAAAAAGTTTCTAATTTTTGCATATTAAAAGCATTCATTAATATGACGCAGCGGCTGTATGAGTGGTCAGCATGTTGCTGTGACTTTCTATCACAGTGGTCTGATGCTATAAATGTTTGGCAGAGGTAGTCTGCTGAGAGACCCCCAAACCAGAAAACCTACAAAACAATTGATAGTGGAATACTGTGGACACAACCGTGATCAGAAGTTAAGGTACCATGCTGACCACTGATACATCCACTGGCGTCACTACAAAGTAAAAATAATAAATAAACTTTTTTTCCACAGTGCATAATGTACTTAGAGATTCTTTGCAAAAGTTTAACATATATTATATGCAAAATATAAGCAATAAGGGTTAAAAAGTATAGCTGATTGCTATTCATATGTTTGGTGTTCTCTCTATTTCTGTCAAATGAAATGACACTCACTGTTTATGTATGAGGCCGTTTGAGTGACAGAATCTGAGCCCAAGGACGTCTGAGCGTCGTAACTCAAACTGGCCTGCTCTGCCAGTGTCACCAAAGATCACCAGTATCAAAGACAAGATATTACGTCAAAGGGAGAAACACGAGAGATGCGTCTGACAAAATTCATGAAATGGACTTTTATGATCAAATAAAGATAAACAAAACGGACTGGAAACGTACTCAACGGATTTATTTGATTTTCATTGTCACTTTTGATTATATTCACACATTGACTGTATCACAATGAAACTGGCGTGCAAGTACAGACAAGAAAACAGAAATAACTTAACTAAATAATTAAAGCCAAGGGACCTAACTTATAAAACATAGCAATGAAAGTATGTAATAACAAGCTCTTTAAACAGTTTAGTTCTTTCACCAGTTTTCACATGCACATATTATTGTCCCCTTCCGCATCTTTAGATCAGCTTTTTCAGACTAAAATGCTAAAAAAAAAGAGGCTCCTCATCCAGCCAATCAACGCTCAGCATCCATCAGGGCTCTTAAAGACAGCATGATGTGATCTGATTTGTTCACAAGTTTTTTCTATTGGGACAAACAACATAAATCAGTTTAAAGATCATGCAAAAATATATTTTAAAGCTCAATATTTATTGTCTGTACATTATCTTTTATAATAGTGAGAAGATACTATACATTTTGCAACATCAGGCCCACTGGGACAACAAATGGAAATTAGCCTTTGGTTCCTCTCTGATTTGTTTATATTCATGTCTGAGCATGTTTGTTCAGTAACGTGCTCTGTCCCAGTGAAATAAATAAATAAAATAAACTAATTGGCTAATTGCAATTGCGCTGGTTGCACAAAGTTTACATAATAGTCTACAAATCCATCCATCCAAATTAGTTAGTTATAATGTGTTTCTCTACTTAGTAATTTTGACTCATAGAAATAATCTTTGAAGTAATCATGATATAGTTATGGGACAAATAATATGTGTTTGACCAACCGTAGAGTCAGTTACATGCAGGAGAAAGGAGAGCACCGTTTATATCAGTTACATGACGTTCACGTGACTGACGACAGAAGTATGCTGAGACAGACTGAATTATGTTGATGAAGTTATGATGGTTGGAGGAAAAGTAGATGGACATGGAAACACTCAAAAAAACTAAAATATTGTGAAAAAGTTAAAACATTAAAAAAACTTAAAAATGTATTTCTCATAGATTAATTACACATTATTCCGCACCGTATCATGTTTGGATATGTCAGAAGAATAGAGAATAGAGAATGTTTGAAATGCATTCTACTTTGTGACCGGCAGGGGGCAGCTTTGTATAACCTTCGTCGTTTTCAAATCTTTTTCCCCCACATATATATCAAAAACTAGTTACAACGATTACATTCAGGTAATAAAAGTAGTACTTTATTGAATGTCAGTCAGAAGTGCTTGTCCCCAGACTGGTGGAGAGATCAGAGGCTGGTGACAGGGCATGATCCTGGGCATGAGTCACAGCAGTGTGTGGAGTCTTGTTACTGGATATGTCTGTCAGAAGAGACACTGCAGCTCTGGGCTACACTCACTCTGGCCTCTGATGTTCACCACATTCATGATCTTGTCTTTCAGAACACAAAAAAGTCGGATCATTAGGCCAGTACAATGTCCAATCAGAAAAGAAAAAGGCTTGTGTGTGTCGTGTGTAGGTTGTATAGTTAAATATGTAAGATTGTAACATGTAAATTTGGCCAAACCTGGTGTTGGTTCTTTAGCTCTTACTGATGGTCTTCTGCCGGTTCTGTGCACTGCTGCTTAAACTAAGAATGAAACTGTCAAATGAGAGACTTATGTGGGGCTTTGAGAACTAAAAACCAAACTGGGCAACAAGGTGTGGATAGCCCTCAGCAAGAAAGTCCTGGGTTCAAATCCTGGTTAGAACAGGGTCATTCTGAGTGGAGTTTGTATGTTCTCCCTGTGCCTGCGTAGGTTTCCTCCGGGTGCTCCGTTTTCCATAGGTCTGGCATCCGCCTCCTGTACTGGCGACCTCACTCCCTTCTCTGTGTGGTGTGAGAGACAAATGCCCACAACAATTGTAAAGCGTTTTGTGACTCTGGTTTGTGAAAGGCGCTATATAAATAAAGATTACTTACTTACTTAATTATCAACCTAAACAACATGGATAGTTTGTCCAATTATTTCTCAATAAAGAATCAAATTGTTATCAGAAATGTTGGGGTTTATCCCACATTATCACCTTGAATTGTTAAGTTGTTACCCTGGATTTTACTAGGGTTCACTTGCACATTGAATTGAAGTGCAGCTAAAGACGAATGGATAGTTCAGTTCAATTACAATAGAATGATGGAGTTTTTATGTGCTACAAAAAGGGCAGAAACTTACAGTATTCCTGATAGTAAGATCAAAGTAGAGTTATGTGCACGATCGGCCATGGGGAAAAAGACTTAAAATTGAAGGAGGAAGAAGAGTAATTTCTATCAGCATATAACTCGTTAAGATTGGGTTCAAGGGTCTAATATGAGAGAGGAGACATGCCAAGCTGTATTATAATGAGTGACAGGGAGAGGCCACAGTGGATCGGTCTGGGCGTCTGGCTGCTGACAGCTGACACTGCACATAGCCTTATTAAAAAATAAAGATGTTTTTACTGCACTCCGATCTCTATTCACTCATAGGCAGTTTGTGACAGACATTGAGGAGAGCAGATGACTGTGACAGCAACCACTCCAAATGTGTCCCAAAATTACACATGAGAGGTAGCATCTATTTCCTCTTTTGCTGCTGGTCGCCTCACCTCACTGATTCACCATGACCATTCCAGTGATTCAGGAGCTATTATAAACATAACACTTCATATTAAGTGATGCATCACCTTCAAAATGATGCTTGAGAAGTAACTTTTAGTTACTAAATTAACCGCAATTAAATCTTACTCAGAAAACGCATAAGGTTTATTAGAATTCATCTACATCCAAAAAATACGTTCTGGAATTCATTATGTCGCAAAAAAGCCCCGAGTGAGAAAGAACTGGCCACTGGAGAACGGCGTGCGTTTAGGCAACATTGTGTTTGACTTGGTAGACCATGGCGAGAGAGGGAGGGGGAGAGAGAGAGAGAGCGAGAGAGAGAAAGAGAGGGAGGGAGGGACACTTTACAGGCGGCGGGCAGGCGTGCGCTCAGAGCTGCAGAGCGCGAACAGCAGAGCCGCACTTTGGTTTAGCGCGTCTTTCATTTAGGGCTATGTCTGTGCTTCTAGTGAAACTCTCCCTTTAAGTCTCAGTTTGTTTGGAAACTAACAACAATGCACTCCGCTGGAGACAACTAGCTCCAGGGGTGACTCACCGGGGCTTACGCGCGGTAGTGCTCAGCGTCTCTCATCACAGCCCGGTCAGTGCGCGTGAGCCACGGGAATAGTGCATTTCTGAAGGAAAGAAATCTGAAGTCCAGTGGTAGTGAGAGCCCGTGGTCCAGAGCAGACATCTCCCGACAGCCTCATGCAGGATGCCCGGGAAGCTCCGGGGAGTCCTGGTCCAACTCAACCCGACTTCATGACGCTCTGGGCACCCTCGTCATGCGTCTCCTGCCCGAGCCAAGCGCACAGTCCCTGCGGATCCTCTTTCTCTTTATCTTTGTGATGGGGGTGACCCCTTCGCCGGCTCTCACAGCCGGCTGTCCGGACAGATGTGTGTGTGATGATCAGCTGGTAGTGCAGTGCGCAGGCCAGGACCTGACCCTGTTCCCCACCGACCTGCCCCTGGCTACGCGGCAGCTCATCCTGTCCAATAATCGGATAGGAGAGCTGCCTGCGCTGCAGCTCAACTACCTGTCTGACCTGGTCTACCTGGACTGCAGCAACAACTCCCTCACAGAAATCTCGGAGTCCACTTTCGGGAACCTGCGTAAACTCGCCTACTTGGACCTGTCGTTCAACGTGCTGCTCCAGATTGAGGACAGGACGTTCGGGCCGCTCTCGTCTCTGGTGATGCTGAGACTCACGGACAACCCCGGGCTTACTGACATCCACCCGGACGCCTTCTCGGAAAACATGGCGCTGCAAGTGCTGGACGTGAGCAGGAACAACTTGACGGTGCTGAACATCAGCAGTCTGATCGCACTGCCCGCTCTGCGCTCTCTGGGGCTGAGCGGGAACCCGTGGAGGTGCGACTGTGACACGGAGGACCTGTGCCTCTGGGTGCAGATCGAGGGCTTCAAGTTCCAAGGTCAGTCCCCAATCACGTCACACAACACAAAGCATCTACAAGTGGTGTCATACAAATGTTACTCTTGTATGAAACTCAAAGTCATACAAAATGTCCAAAATAATTTGGTCTAATAGGGTTTTGTATTTATCAAAAATACCTGTAGTTCTGCTGTTTTGAGAGAAAGGAACTTTATTACATTCTATTTTCAAATGTAGATAATCCAGCTTTAATTACAATAAAACTAATTTATGTGGTATAAAAGTATTAATATTTATCGGCTACCTAGGCCTATGAATAAAACAGTAGCCTATCATTTTCTATTGCCTATATCATTCCATCCCTTTATCCTGCTTTGAGAACCACTCCCCCTCTCTCTCTACCACCTGGACAGACACTAAACAAAACAAACATTTATTGAAGTTACCATCTTTCATGGCAAATTGAAAGATGTAATATAAATTCTGGGACGCATTGTCTATATAAGATCATTACATTGAAATATGTGACCTGCATATTCTAGTCACTGGGATATTATATAGAAAGGCAAGTTATTAAAAATCAACATAATGTTTTTTTTTTAGATATAACTTGACTCCATCAGTCGACCCAATCCTACTGAAGCAGTCTATAGTGCCTCAATTCTATCTTCAGACTTTCCCAAAAATCTCCTCTTTAGTTCTCTTGCATCACATGAGAGACTCTCCTCCTCTGGGCACATGTTGCACTTGGAGCTAATGGTTTGACCTGGGAGTCAGAGCAATCTTCAGCTTTCCCTCCCTCTGCTCTCATCAGGAACCCGACCCACTCAAACTGCCTGTAATGTCTCAAGTTTACCTCAACAAATCAGCTCCTTTTTGTGGCATTTACTTGAAAGCCAACCTTATCTGTCCTGAAATAGCCCTGCAGGATTCAATTATCAGGCTCGGTGACTAGATGATGAGGCCTTTTGGAGTTAATTGACTTGTGCATGCTGGTAAACTGGGCTAAGTCTCTCTTTGCTTTTAATAGCAGTCCGTGTTGTCTTGGTGTTGTGTCCTTTTGCCATTCTCGCAATAGCTTTACCCCAGTGAGATCTGAACCTAGTTTATTTTAATGCAGGTTCTGTGGCTGTCCAGTGTCCACTATTCAACCCTGAATAGACTGCCAACTGAAAGCTACTTTACCTTAAGCAAGACAAGCCGTTTTCATATGACCCCTCTCTTTTCAATTTAAATGTTATAACTAAATGGATTATTTGATTCTATATGCACTTTATAGGAGGATTTGGTACATTTTAAAAGAGTGGGAGCTATATTCTCACATCAATCATTGTTTTACTCAAACATTTTTTGATAAAGATCTTATCCCTGCATGGTAAAGTGGTTCGAGCCGGCTAAGATTTGCAGGGGTGTCAAACTCATTTTGGTCCGGGGGCCAAATACAACCTAATTGGATCTCAACTGGGCCGGACCAGAAGATGCTTTACAATAATACCCAAAAACGGTACAAAGTCCAACTTTTTGTGCACATAAACACATTTATTTAAAACTTCCTTTATAACACTGTCCTTTAATACTCGCTCAGTTTTAACTGTAAATCTGTTACAAACTTAAATGTAACAGTGAGTTTTTCATAGTGCAAATAATGTAATGTATTTACAATATTACATTGTAAATGGCATTTTACAATATTTCTATTACTATTTGTATGTTAGCTTTGTTTTAAGGCTCATTACATGGAAAACTTGCTCATAAAGGTAAAGTAGGTAGATAGAAAAAAGCAGAGATGCCACCCAGTGCACGTAGCACCAGCCCCTCATTGATCCTCCTGCAGGTGGTGAGTCCACAGGAGCCTTGATCTTTCAGCGGGGGCTTCAGTCAAAGTGGGGTTAAGTGTCTTGCCCAGGGACATAACAACAGCAATCATCAGTGGGAGTCTGTGGAGAAGGTCTCATGGTGGGCTCGAACCCACGACCTTCAGGCTCAAAGGCCAATGCTCTACCAACTGAGCCACTGTTGCCCCGCTCAGTTAACATGACATTTATTATACATTTTACCAAAACAAAGCCCCTGGAGGACATCGTCATAGAGATTCTGTTTGTTTAAAAATACTTTGTAAACACATTTTAAATTATTTCTGCAGTCATTATAGAATTATCCAAAGTCCAAGGACCTCTTCAACATGTTTAAGGGTATATAAGGTAAAAAAAATAAATAGAAATATTAATAAGTTTTATTAAAGTAGTTATAATAAGTATTATTAAAGTAGTTAATAACTATTTCAATGATCGATCAGTTGTGTTTAATTGATTACCTCATTTAAGCAGTAGTACCAGTATATTTTAGTTATTTATTTATCAAATATTGCGATTAATATTTATTTATTTACTTAAAATAAAATAAAATAAAATATAAGCAAAAGCACAGAAAAGGGGTAACTAATCTGATAATCAATTAATCACCATCTTACATAGACTTAAACATGCTGAGAAGAGCTTTTATGACTTTGATAATTCTATAATTACTGAACGCAGATGGAAAGGATAATATTTTCAATGAAATTACCCATCTCTCCAGGGGCATCACATGAGCTTTGTTTTGGTCACACGTATAAAAAATCCCACGTTCTCTGACTTTTTGAGATCCAAACAGCTAATTCATTATAAAAAAATAACTTAAGTCTCAGTTACAATTAGTAATACTAGGTCCTGGTTATTTGTTGTTCAGTTGAGTTTAGTATAGTTTATAGTTTGCATCTTTCATCCCTATCTGCACAGTCCACTGAGGAGAAAAGACCAGAGGCAAAGATAAGGATTTATTGAGCTTTGAGTAGCCTATTCATAAAGACTACAATGGCCTCCATACAGCCTCCTCCCTGTTTCTCTGATATAGAGCAGTGATGCATATGCAGGCACATACAGTGACCCGTGCAGATGTAATTGGCTCCAGAGTAGTGGGGTGTTTGTGGTGTTGTGTTGTGTGTGCGTGTGTTTGTGGTGTTGTGTTGTGTGTGTGTGCGTTTGTCTGCCTGGTTGCGTTGCCCTGGGTCTCCCTGTGAGCACTGTGAGTCTTGACGTCCCAGGACTCCAGCTGTCGCTCCCTCTTAACGTGAGAGAGAATCAGGTGCAGTGGGAGTGTTGTTTATCTCCAGCTGAAAGAAACATCTTCAGTAACTCAACCTGCATGGCCAAAGGTCTTTCAGAGTGCTCACAAATTGAGTTTATGGGCACAAGAGCAGCACATTAGGAGTGTTAAGAGGTCGACTATATAAAAACAGGCAGGAAGTACCTAATTCTTTTTCTTATGTAATACACTGCATTTGTTCCAAGATTCTTGAAAGGCCAAACGACTGTGGTCTGCTAAAGAATATATTTTTAGATACAATATCTTTATACACATATATTTAGAATACAATATTTATGAAACTAGATAAAACATAAACCACAGAAATCATTTATATTATTTGTGTGTTTGCTGTGTGTGTTTTATTGCTCTGATATTTTGACCTCAGTCACAAACAATCCTCAGTAAATTAAATATAAATTAAAATGGGGCGGAGCTAAGGGATCAAAAGCCTTTATTCTTTTACTGAACCATATCAAATCGCTTCAAAATATATTTCATAGAACCGTGTCAAATTGTATTGTTTCATGAATATCAAGAGTACCGACAGGCTCTGCAAGATCAGCCCAACACGTTATCTTCATCTTATTAGAAAAGTGTTGTAAAAAGTGTTTATCTTTACATCCACTTTTGCAAACTCTTTGAGCGCAGTGTGTCACTATTTGACGCTGTAAGCTGAGGGTGGTCCTCTCTTATTCACTTAACTTGCTGAAGAAGCTGATATAAAGATGTGTTAGAGGCCCAATAAAGCATGCATGTGAAAACTAGTGATGGAACCAAACTGTTAAGAGCGAGGAACTCATTTATTGAGGTTTGAAAGTGGTTATGCTGAAAAAGGAAAGAGGTCACGATTTGAAGCCAAGTGACGCATTCTGTGATTTGTGTAACTATATGAGTGGATGAGTCTTCTGCTGCTGGAAACCTGAATTTCTCCTACGGGGATCAATAAAGTATCTATCTATTTATCCATATAAAAAAAGAAAACATGAAACACAATCCAATGAATATCAGATATCGATATCAGAATGAGTGAATATGCTGTCTCTGTTTGTCTGAGCTGCCTGAAACCTGACAAACAAATTGGCAGAATTCAACTGAAAGTTTTTGGCTCTGGACGTGTGATGCCTTCAGCCTCAGCTGCAGTAACAGATCTGCCTCGTCAGCACATCAGCTCTTGAAACTGGACGTTCAAGACGCAGTAGCATTTAGCGCAAGAAGCTGGTGTTGTGCACATTCATGCTGTGTAACATTAAAGTGACCTGTAGCAAATAGCAACCACCAAATATTTTACATTTACATGTTTCTGTGGTTATTATTTGAATAATATACTGTACAGTGTGGTCAACAGGAGAAGAGCTGTTGTTGACAATCTAACAGGGTCAGCATCGCCGGGGGCAACAGTGCAGGCTGTAAATCAACATTTTACACCTGTCCTGGTTTTCAACCAGTTATCATTATAATACAGGGAAATAATGATTACTGTATGTAATAATTCACTCTTGCATAAATCATCCTTTTAACATTCTGACTTTTACTTTCACAATGTAAAGATGATAATTATCAACCTCATAAAGGTTGTAATGTATTGAAAATAATAGTAATAATAATAGTTTTATTGATGGCATGCTCTTCACTTCTGTTTTGTGTAAACCCTCACGCAACAATAGATATTGTTCATTATAATTATCATCTTATACATGTATTACTTGCCAAAAGTAAAATGTTTAATGGCCTTTTGAGCCATTTTAACAAGAGAAGCATCGGTGTCATGTCCTGGAGATATTGTCCCGTCTCTATCCCATGGAAAAGAGCCCGAACAGAGGCCCATGCTGCCCAGACGTTTAAATATTCATCAAAAGAAACTGGAGGTGAATGAGATCGCAGAATAAGTTTTTGTTTGTGAAGCCAGCCACATAA